GATAAAATACGTTCAATTAAAGATAAACAAACAAATTTGAGAATTATCCTATTAAATGAAAAAAAATTTAATTAACTTTTAACTCTGCTCTCTCTCTCTCGATCGATGTAGCTGAACCACTCAACCATGCATGAATCATCTTTCTCGATCTTTCTGCTCCCTCTTTTTGGATGTGTATATATAATATAGGTGTAAATATTACAGTAGTATCTTCTAGAGACAAGTGATGATGATATTGATATTTTGTTTTTATCCAAACTGATAAAATTAATCTCTAATATTAGTGGTCATGAGAAGGATGTGGTGAACTACCAGTCATTGGTTTCAAATTCTGGCAAGACTTCATTGGTGTACATAAGTACGTTGTAATTCTGGCAACTGATTATTATTAATGGTCCAGTTATTTAATTCTCTATTTATTAATTAATTCTTAACTTCACATCTTCTTAATTTCAATGGGTTGTTAACAAAATCTGACTATTGCCATATACTTTCACTTGATTATTCTTCGCCACTCTAAAAAATACTGTCATGTTTGATTTTTAATACGTATTAATAATGTTATTAATTGGTATATCGTGTCATTATTTTTTATCTATATTTTTCAAAAATATTCGGTTTTAGTTATAGATTTTTTACCAATGACATTTAATTAGAGATATTGTAGTAAATATATGATTTAAAATTTTTTATCAGAAAATCATTTTGAGAGAACGAAAAATAGAAAGCAGCAAAATCTATTTAGTATAGATAGAGCTAGTATATAATTTCCATCGTGTTTTTTTTTTTTTTAATCATACTCTTTCAGTTCAAAAAAAAAAAAAAAATTTGTCTTGTTGCTTGTTACATATATTAATAATGTCATTAATTCATATGCATGTTACCATTTTTATCTGTATTTTTCAAAAATACTATGTTTAATTATAGTACTTAATTTATCAATTAGATTTAATTAAGGATATTATAGTAAAATAGATGACTTAACTATTTTAACCAGAAAATCATTTTGAGAAAAACAAAAATAGAAAACGGGACAATTTTTTATAAGGAGTTTCATCATACTTTTTTTCTCCTTATCTAATTCAATTTTTGGTTTAGTTCAGAAGACCTAATTAACCATTGCATTAAAGTCAAGTCAAAGTCCATTACTTAATCAACTGATCATGCATGCTTATCCAGTCTTTTGTTTGTTTATTCAAATGATAAAACTGACCTTTATATAGTAATTTTAAATGAGGTCATGTATAGCTTTATGATGACCGGAGTTGATCAATATATATATATATATATATATATATATATATATATTTAAAGAAGAAATTAAAGAAGCTACTATATTTAATAGCTTCAATCGTAATCGTTTATTAATTATATCTTGATTAATATTAGTATATATACCTTGAGCATTGGTCATTCATGACAATTCTTTAATACAACTAACAAAAAATTGAGGATCAATTCATTTATCGCTAGATCAAAAACTTATTGTTTTTCATAACAAATCTTTACTGTACATAACTAAAAGATATCAAATGTTAATTATGTTGATAAAAAGAAAAGAAAAGAGAAGAAAAAACTAAAAACTAAAAGTGCATGGTTATGGCTTGAGCAAGAGAAAAAACGCTGGTCATCAAATTATAGATATATATGGATTAAAAATAAATTAATTAATTAAAAAATATTAATTGTAGCCCAAACATTCATACATGGAAAAAAGGGGAAATGTATTCTTGCAAAGTAAGCAAACTAATTACTATATGTGCTTGAGTTGTGACAACAACAACTCAACCATAAGTATTTTAATTAATTAATAAAATGCGTATAAGTATGCAAGGTTAGTTTCGGAACAACTTAAATTATATATTCTCTCTATTTTAAAAACTTGTTATATTTTATTTTTTTTAAAAAAAAACCTTAAGTTTTACTGTAAATGATTCTTTCTCAATTCTATATATTACTCATGATAATTAATATAAAAAGTTAAGGAATGGCTATCCATAAAAAGACTTAAACCTTGTGATGGATGATCTCTTTTCAACCTTATTTATTAATCATGGGTGATCTCTTCTCAACCTTATATATTAATTATTTTTTATTTAACTATTCAATGTGAAATATATGTTCTAATACTCTTTTTCACTTGCAGTCTATCGTTTTGGGATATGTCAAGTGATTTGGTCTTTAGGATCGACCTCTTTGAGGCTTCACTACTATATAGAATTAGATAATACGGCCTCTTTGAGGCTCTGTTACCATGTAGAATTAAATAATTGAGACCGAGTTCTATCCAAAAGGCTTAAACTTTATGGTAGGTGGCTCATTTTTAATTTTACATATTAATCATCTTTAACTTAACTATTTAATGTGAGATATATATTTTATCCAAAAAACTTAAACCTTGTGGTGGATGTCCCATTCTCAATCTTACATATTAATCATTTTTAACTTAATTATTCAATGTGAGATGTATATTCTAACATCCAATATGTCATATCACTTTTCTTTGTTTATAATTTTCCAAAATACCTTCGTTTTAGTGGTGGGACCATCAAAAACAAATTTTAATTAGGAACATGGTAAAGAAATACATATTATAATATGTTGATTAAGACAAACATTCTAGAATAAATAAAAGTAGAAAACAAGATAATCTTTATGAAATGAAAAAAATAATTTTCATAATTATACAATTAAGAAATTAATATTAATGTAGATAGTTTTTTTCCTTAAAAGATTGTATATTATAATTCGAAAAAATCCACCCCCCCCCCCCCCCCCCACACACACACACACACACACACACACACACACACACACACACACACATTGTGTGTTCAAGTTTACAGTGGATTGTGTTAGATTTATTGATTAGAATTAATTACTGGAATATTAATTTAATAGGTACGAGATTGATTTAATACGGCCTTTCGTTTTAATTTGTTGATGATTATGACTTAAGTTACAAGTAATGATGTGGAGTTCGAGGGATGTGAGTAGTATCCAACTATTTCTTGCAGCTGTTTAACTGTATCTATGTTTTTGTTTCTCGAGAGGTCTAAAAGTTCGAGCTAGCCTCCTTTGATTATTTGTTACACTAACAAATTAAAAAGAAAAAGTTACCTATCGGGCATCCTATAGATTGTTGGTATACATATATCGCGGTATTATAACATTGAATTTAAAATTGATAAATGATATATTTATATGATTGAAATTATAATATGTGTCTTTGTGTTTTATTTAAAAACTGTCCGACTAAGAAATTGTTCTAAACATAATCATCCTAACTAGTCGCTAGTAGCCATCACGATCAAGTAAGACCTGGTCAATTAATATAGATAAATGGTCTGAATAAAAAAGAAATATTTCAACTCACTTGATAGACAAAAAAGATATTTATTCAATAAAGGTGCATATTCTTAAAATACTTAAATTGCATCATCATCAAATATGACTATACAAGCATCGTTTAGATAATAATCATCATCCGAAAGATTTCCAAACCCTCAAGCGAATGTTAGAAACTATTGAGCACACAAAGAAAAAGTGTTTTAACCTCTATCTCATGTACGTTGATCACACATTCTCTTATATAAAGGCTAATAAGAAAAAAGTTACAGATTTTACCTTCTAAACTCAAAATAGTAATATTATATATCAAAAAACTATCTCAATCTAAAAGTTTAAATTATTAGATGAGATCCCAAAATATGATTTATATTATTCTCTAACACATACATTCAAATGAAAACTTTTTGAGCTTGAAACTTGCACGATACCACACTACCTAGTGCTTAATTAATTAGAGGAGAAATGGGGATAATAAGATTTGAACTCACGATTTTTTGATCATTAAAGCTCGATATTATATCAAAAGATCATCTTAATCTAAAAACTTAAACTACTAAATATGACATAAAGATATGGTTTATATTATTCTCTAATTTTATCAACCATCTCTTATATATAAAAGCTAATTTCTTACGACCTATTCAGACTAAACACCTTTATTTGTAAACCAACTTAATCATTAGAGGGTTTTTCAATCACTAAAAGATGACTTATTATGTAGGCACTTGTCGTTAAATCCATATTTATCAAGTTATAACTACCGAATAATCATCTTAAGTCAAAAGCCACCTCATCAACAATTATGATACGAGGATCATCATCTGGTCAATAAAATTAAAGAAAGTCTCTACCTCTACTAGCTGAGTTGTGATCCTATGTTGTTGTGTGATCGTAAGAGCAAAGACCGTTAGACATGGTCATTAGTATATTACAGTACTATATGGATTTGATTTTTCTCAAATTAGGATCTCAAATTAGGAATAACATAACTCTTATGTCGGTGAAATCCAAATTATTGATTTTGAAATTAATGAATTAAATTTATTTATAGAAAAAAATAACCATCAATTTAAAAAAAAAAACATTATAATCACTCGGTAATTTGACAAAATGGAATGCTAAAAATCGTTCTATCCCAAAAATATTATACTATTTAGCTTTTCACACAAATTAAAAAAATTATCAATTCTTATATTGTATCAGTATCTTTTATTATTCATACTTTTCTAAAAAAATTTTATTATAACATTTGGATTTTTTTTAACAAAATAAACTTTAATTAGAGATATATTAAAAAAATATATCATTTGAAATTTTGACCTAACAAGTACTTTTATACAGAGAACAAAATTCAAACCAGTAGTTTGAATTTCACAAAATGCATGTAACTTTCTTCCAAATGAATACAGTGGCAACAAAATGACGCTGCTGGTAAAATGCAAAAAATGCCACTGTTTACTAACTCCAGATGCAGTCAATATTATCGTGCATGAATTATATTTAATTAAGTACCTTTTGTCACAAGTAATCCAACCAAGAGAGCACTTCAGGCAAATATTAATTAAATATATAGTCACAAAGCAATCAAACTGGTGGAGGTGACCAAAGCCAGATATTGGATAAATTAATAACAACAAGATCATAGCTAGCTAGTTTGATGCAGTTAGGTGAAGAAGATAGTGATAAGTCAAGGGCCTAAAGAAATGGGAAGCCTCAGCCTCAATGAATTCCAACTGCCCTCTCATCAGGTGCATGTACACTATCCAATCACCATTACCGGCTGGACTTGGCATTGGCATCACATATCCGGCATTGCCACCCCATGGAAAATGATAGGAACCGAAAAGAGGCACACCCCATCCGAAATCCACCTTCGAGACTGGGAATCTTTGCCCGGACGAGACCACGAAAGCCGGTCCCTCGTTGTCCCCACCGCTACTGTATATCTTGGCCACAGATGGCTCCGGCCTACGAGCTTCCACCCAATCTATCAGCCCTAAGAAATGCTCCTTGCTCACTGCATTTTCCAAGAAATGATGGACCTCATTTGCGACCCAACTCAACGGATTTTCAATTAGCTCACGAATTGTCTTGCCACCATAGGGAATGGATAGCACATTTCCAAAGTATGCTTCCATTATATCACCTTTTTCAGGATCACTACTTAGCCTTGTCCTTCCATCCACAACGATGCCCATTTTTGATATCTTCGTGCTGGCCTTGTTGCTACTGCTGCTGCTGCAATTGTCATCATCTTTTATAGCACAATATTTGGCAACCAATTGCCACAAGAACGCACTAAGTGACTCCATTTTCGTTCTCTTGGAGTACCCGTTGAAGGTAGCAAGAGATTGAAGTTGAGTTAGCTCATCTGCTTTCATGATATATATGCGACTTACGAGATGATCATCATCAGCTGCAGGCTCTTTGGGAGCTGACAATGTGGAGATTGGCACGTACATGTTGTCCAAAGAAGGGTCCACGCAACCAGGACGTCTTGGGTTGAGCAAGGATCTTCTGAATGATGGCAGAAGGGATATTGTTTTAGATTGAGCTGTCTCTGCCCACGACACCAAAAACATGTTGGTTGAGTAGGCATCTGCAATGCGATGATCGAACGTGCACCCCACTACTAATCCTCCACATTTTAGTTGCGTTGCCTGCAAAATTAGTTTGTATATAATTAATTCGTGATGTTAAAGGTACATAACACTAAGCTTGCAGGTCCATTGATGTATTTTTTCTATTTTAAAGAGATTTTTTTTAATTGATAATTGTTTTAAAATAATTATTTGGTCAAAATTTTAAATGATGTATTTTTATAAATTATTTTAGAAATATATATATATATAAACAATTTTTTCAAGACAGAAAAAGTATATATATCTAGTGGCAGAGGGTGTGCCGAATTATTGGAGATCAAGTTAGAAATATCATAAAGGTTTAGGAATATTATGAATATTTTGAAATCTTTTTTGGGAGGGCATGGCAATAATTTTCAAAGGTCTAATATGAAGACATGCTTAAAACTCATGTACCAAAGTGATTTTTTCTTGAAAATTTTGGAAGCCACAGCCCCTCTTAAAGATCTTAGTTTCGAACCCTCTTCTTTGTGTATATATATATATATATATATATATACACACACAATATTAAGAGGGCAAAAAATTAAGTAAAGAAAATCAATTTGAATGTTTAATAATATATTTTAAAACATTTTTTTTTACCACGGTTTTGTTTAAACTTATATATATATATATAAGGACAACAGGATAAGGACAGGAATATGGTTGGTACGTACTTATTAAAATTACGCTATCGTTACTTCAACACGACATGCACATTTTTTTCCTTCCAAGAATTAAAAATAAGTCAAGAGTACTCGTCACCTACCTAGTTATATATAGAGATATATGATTCTTCTTGCTGTCCTTCCTATATCCCCACATGTCATTGTCTGCCCACCATTTCAGCAGGCTCAAATGAAATATACAAGTTTATCTTCTTTAATTTACCCTTATAATTTTGCTTTCCATGAATGGATTGTAATAAAGGAATTAATTTATTAATTTATTATTTTTTTTGTAAAAACACGCACATATATATAAAATAAAAATATTATTAGACTAATTTTTTACATAAAAACACTAAATTCTTTTCCATTAATAGAACAGTTAATGATGTAAAAATATAACTATCACTTCTAAATAGGATCCAAAATATACGATATTTATATATGTACGTAGTTTCCACTTTTCAGGAATCCATGTGGAGGTGGCCCATAACTCTTGTTTCTTTTAGGTATAAAAAAAACAAGCCCTTAATTGTGTCTTCGTATATGATTGCTTCATTTTGATACGTACGTATGTATACATATATAGTAATTATTTTTTATAAAAAGGATATGGATGTATGTTCGTATATTACAGACCTGGACAGCAAGGACACCATCCTTCTTTCTAGGGACGAGCTTCCCTTCAATGCTATCGTCAGGGTTGTACAAGTTGAGGTTCTTGAGCTCAATATCTGCAGATGCCTCAAAAAATCCACACCTCGGTTGTTGCATAGCAGCTCAGGCTCACCGACGGAGTTAGCCACAACCTTTCCGGCAAAGGCGTAGTAAGACACCAGAACTTGGGCCATCGCCTTTTTCAAAACACCTACCATGGACGCAAAATTATTATTATTATTATTATTAGCAGCTGGAGGTGATGATGAGCTGATGAAGGTCGACGACGTTGGTCTCTTGTAACAAAAGAAGACTCCCACATCAACTGGAGGAAGAAGCAAGTCAAGGTTGGAAAATGGCAGCCAATGTTCTTGCATTGGTAGCACTGCTGCCACCACCTCTTTCTTGGTCACCGTCACAGAGAACATTCCGGTAGCCTGATCATCTCCTCCAGTAGCACCCATAATCTTTCTACGTATATTTCCTGAGCTTGCTTGCTAGCTATAAGAAATAATAATGTAGAAATAGAGAGCAAGAAAGAGAATATGCTAGCTTGTGGGTATTAGTTTTTGGAGTGCTAGCTTGAGATATGGTTTTGGGAATTGAGATGGGCGTGAATTTTATAGGCAAATATTCAAGGAGTAGTTATATGTTAACAAGTCACCCTTCTAGAATTCCTCATATTTAAATTGTGAAAAGAAAAGGAACAAAAAAAAAAAAAAAAAGGAGAAAACAAATAAATGTGCCAATATAATTAAACGGCATTGAAATTGACTAAGGAGTGTGTAGAAGATTGGATTCTAATTAAAAAAACTTAAAATTTTATAATAAGTTATTTTTAAAAAAATTTTATATATTACTTATTATTTGTTTATTTATTTGATGTGGGGTAGATTCTATAATAATAATTAATAAATTCAATTTATCAATGCTAGAGTATTAATTTGTCGGCACGTATTAAATAGATAACATTGTGAGATATATATTATTTTAGCCAAGATCAAAAGATGTGGTTTAGCAGTAATAGAATTATCTTGATTTGATCGAGATTAAAATTTAATTCTCACTATTCATAGATAACTAGTCATAATTATCTTTAATGGTACCAGGCTTAGACGACTTGTTTGACCTAAGAATTAGCCTTTTGGTTGAACAAAAAATAAATGTGTTTTGACATTGAATTAACATGAAAAATAGTGAATTCAATTTTGATTGATATGAAAGTTGATTCGAAGATATCTCATTATTTGTAAATATCAATACATGTATATATATGGTTTTGGGAGTTGAGATGGTTGTGAATTTGTTGACACCTAAAATAAACATACTTATGTGAGATGCATGTTCTTATTTAATATTCTTTATATATGTTTCAAAAACATCATCTATTTTGACTTTTCACATGTTTAAAAAAATTATTTACTGTTATATTATATTAATATTTTTTGTTAATATTTTTCTAAAATATGTTTTTTTTTTATATTAAAATTGTTAGTTATCAAATTTATTTCTTTCATTATATGAAACCAATATTAATTTAAAAAGAAAATCTATTCAAAATTAATGTGATAAATCAAAGAAAAAATTATTAAGTTAATAAACAATCAACTTTAAAATAAAAAAAATAATATACTAATAAAAATATTTTACTTTTAAAATTTTGGCATGTAGTAAAGTTCCTATGAGGATGAATATCTTCATGTACCAAAAAATTTCTCCTTGAAATTTTGATGTTGAAGGTATTGTCTACATAGGGAAAAAATATAAATAATATTTTGATTTTTTAGTTAATAAAAAAAATAGAAGAAAGATTTGATTTTTTTTATCAATCAAAAATATTTTAAGAAAATGTATTATTTAAAATTTTAACAAACAAGTTGTTTGAAATAAATATAATTAAAAAGATGGATAAGTTTTTTGGAAGAGAGCTAGAGAATATATGTTCTGTAGCTCTCTTCCAAAAAGCTTAGTTGTCTTCACATGACTATTACGAGTATTCTCTAGCTCTCTTCCAAAAAGCTTAGTTGTCTTCACATGACTATTACGAGCAATATGATTGTTTATGGGTCACGATTTCTCACCAAATAGCAGACACGATTGTGATTTCTACGATGAAGACTTGGTACTTGATATTGGACTCATGAAAGTTTCTATTACAGCCATTATTCAAGCAAACGACTCTCACATTGTCAGTATACATAACTAAAGAAAATGGTCCTGTTTATTACAAGTCTTGATCTTCTTGTTTTGTTCTGATTTTATTAAATTGTCTGCAGGTTAAGGTTTAATTTTTAGAAATTGATTCCTAGGTTGGTTTTTACTAATTTATATATATATATATATATTAAGTAGCTTTTAGGTCATCCACTCACATTTAATGAGAGCTTTGCTCCTTGTAATTCTTTAGTTAGCTCCATCACACAAATCCTTAATACACAGTTGTCTTTCACACTCTATGTTTTATCTTTCTTTCTTACAATTTATTTTTATAAGTTTATTATTTATTTAATTACATAAAAAAAATAGTTAAATTACAGGAATCCCCTCAACTTTTAAAAAAAAATATTAGTCTTTTGTATCCAAACTGTCCTTATTTATTATTAAAAAAAAGATAATTAAATTACAAAACTTTAAAAAAAATAGAGAAAAAATAAAAAGGACATGATTATTATTTTAGTACATAAACAATATTAAATTCAGTATTTAATTTCGGTAAATCTTGGTTTGATTTTTTGATATACTTTCTATAACTTTTTAATTTTTTAATATATATATATATATAGCAACTAAAGACATTTTGGGTAAAAAGGGGCTTTGTGTTGAATTTTCAAGCTTTTGGACAGTCTCTGTAATTTTCTGTTGCTTGAAGGAAATTATTGTAATTTACTCAAAAAAAAAAAAAATTGTTTATTAATTTACAGCTTTTTTATCGCTTTCTTTAATGTGTTTTTCTTAGCGCAAGTAACTCGATCTTGTCTCTCAATATTCTACCAGCTCTTCCTCGCTAAAAATCCTTCGGTTTGTTAGTGTTTCTCTGAGAACATTAATAGCTCATTCGATCTCTTTAGTTTATCTGCTTACGATGGAATTTACACTCTATCTGATTGTGAGGTAGTTGAAAGAATAAATTGCCACGTTCTGCTTGTGGGCTAGTCATAGAACTAGTAATCAAATCTTAAGGCGTGTGTATTGCAGATTCCATTTCAATTCCTATGATATATACCTAACACACCTCCAAATTAAAAGGAGGACCTTAGTTAATAGGAATTATGACTATTATTAGTAACCTATTCTACTATTTAATCGCATTGATCAGTCTTGATTTACGTGAAAAAGCAACTAGCTAGCTAATTACAAACAGTGAGGTCTACCACACCACCTAATTCAATACTTTGTTGGAATTTAGTTAATCAGTGTACGTTATGTATATCCCTAATTAACTAATTTTACAATAGATATCTGTGGCACGTTGATATGAATTAGTTAGCGCTAGTTGTGAAGTAGATATCAAAGTTAGCTAGTTTAGATCAAAACCATGACCTAGCTCTACAAATATGGATCGAAGCAAGAGGTCACATCCCACTCCACTACAAAACGTGCATTGGGTTGGAAACCTACCTTACTAATATAAATATTATGGCATCCTCTCACAATAATTGTAAACCTTGTTTTGATTCAAGAAGTTGGATTCGCGTAGAAGTTTCTCCCTTAATCGTCATACCTTAATTAAAGAAACATTATGGTGCAACTTATATTAAAGTCCATGGTTAATTACTTCCGATTGTTAATGTTTGTCAACAAACTATCTCGGTTCGAAAGATTAAGTTGTTGGACGAAATAATAATGAGACTCAAACAATAAATCATCTTAGTTCAAAAAGTTAAGTTGTTGGACGGAATAGTAGTGAGATTCAAACTCGTGACGGTTTGATAATTAAGATTCTAATACTATGTTAAGAACTATCTCAATCTAAAAACTTAATTTATTAAGTGAGGATTAAGAATGATTTTATATTACTCTTTAATAATGCTAGAATATTTGTGCATGAGTATATGAATTAGATGGGAAATAGAAATATTTAGAGATATTATGATAAAAAAAATAAAAAAAGAAGAAGAAATATTTTTTGAGTTTCGATGGTTGTGTATTTTAAGGCATAACCAAGGAATAATAGTCATCGGTAAACTATGCTTTCAAAATTCATAATTTTCAACTCTTAAAAAGATACTTAGAGCCTACTTGATTTTTTTTAATTAATTTTTTTTTATTTTTTTATAAAGAAGCTAAAAGTTTCAAATATATATTTGGTAAATAACTCTAAACTCCATTGCTTAATTTTACTTGGTAAAGTATAAGGTGATTCTGTCACAAAATAATATAAGTCATATTTTGAAACCTCACTTAATAATTTAAACTTTTGGATAAGATAATCATTTGTCATGGTATCGAACCTTGCTAACCTAATGGTCGAGAGTTCGAATCTTACCACTCTCACTTTCTCTTCTAATTAATTAAGCATAAAGTAATATGAGTTTATGTAAGTTTCAAGCCCAAAGGGCTTTCACTTGAGGAGGTTGTCGCTACCCGACGTCGGACGGGACTCCTCGAAAATATCTAAAATTTAGATTGAATAGTTACGAGTTTATTTACGAGTTTGGAGTCGCCACCTAGTATTGAAGGAACTAGGAACCTAAAACGGATAATGGTTCGGAGATTCTATGGTAAGGAGTTGGTTACGCTTTTGGAAAGATATCGATCATCCAAAAGCGCCCTTTTCAAAAAAAGGTACCACGTCCGGTTTAGCTCTAAATTTATCTCCTAAAATATTTTATTTACGTCAAATTATTTTCTCGACTCTTAATCTTCCATTTTCTTTATAGATAAATTGAATTTTTAGTTTTGAGCGTGGCATCGTATTGAAACGATCGTCGGTCCCCTTCGTCGAGCAACACGTCGATTAAAACATCGGATCCACTTTAAACCTTAACACAACCGGTGTGTCGGAGGATATTTTGATTTAAAAAATAATTTTTTTTGGTGACGTCGGTCCCAATCGGATAGGAGACTTCGTTGAGAATTTTAGATTTTTGATGACGTCGGTCCCTATTAGATAGGAGACTTCGTCGAGAAAAAAAAATATATTTTTTATTTTTTTATTCTTAAAGAAAACTTTAAAATTTTAATTAACTAAAATCAAATGAAACAAGTTTCAAAAAAATTAAATATATCGAAATCATCATCCGTCCCTAATAAATAGGAGACTCGTTGATACAATATTTTAATCATAAAAAATATTTCATGTTAAAATAAATTTCACAACTATGTATCTTTAAATTTTATAACATACATATGTAAAATAATAAAAACAAAGCTACAAAACACATAAAATAAATCAAACAATACAAAATTCACCTATATTATAAAATTACCAAAATGCCCCTAGAATACCAAGAGTCAACGCCAA